TGGAAGGTGTCCCTGCCTGGGGCAGGGGTTGGAGCTGGGGGAGCTTTAAGGCCTTTCCAACCCAAACCAGTCTGAGATTCCATGATTCTGTTAAGTGTCTCGGCAAATTGCATTAATCAAAACTATTTCCTATATTCAGGATTCAGCATCAGTTCTGAGTTCACCCTCGTGGTGACCTCTGCTGCCAAGTCTCTTGGCTTTAAATTTCCAAATAACTTGTCACTAAGGCACACCTCTGGCTTTGTCTCACATTGTGACTGTGAAGGTTTGGTATTGCTGTGAAAAGCAGCATTGCAGGGGTTCCAAATGGGCACGAAACTGGTGAGGCAATGAAATACCAACTCGGAATATCTTTGTTATTACTAAAGTCTTTGTCTTGTGCCCTTTAACACAGGGACCCAAGGGAAATCAGCTATGTGAACTACTCAAGAAATAATAACTTGCTGTATCTGTTAACTAGATTTTTATTTTTGTATTGGTAAAAGTTTCTGCAGTTCCTGAAATCCAAGGTGGTTCCTGGCACAGGTTATATACGCTTGATGCAGCTCACACATAACATGTCACAGCATCCTCCAAGGACAGTAATGATTCACAGTCTCCCTTGGGGGTAGGGTACCACAGAGTAAATACAATTTTTACACCTGCCTTTAATGAAAGACTTTGATAAATATATCTTGCAAAACTGACGACACAGCCGTAACCTTCTTTCCTACAAGGATATAAATGAGGTTTTGCCTTTATAAAAGGCACACACATCCTGCATCTCACAAGCAGTACTCTGACTCGGTGAGCAAGACATCCTGAGGAATTTCCTCTACATAGTTTGAGTTATGGTTTAACCATTTCCAGAGCACGCTCAGTACAGTCTACAAATATTGTAGAGCCCGTTATGACCCCGTCGGGAAGCTAGGTTTTCAGAGGTGTCCAGTTAGACCTGCTGCTCTGCTTGAGCCACCTTGGGTCCCCACAACCAGGCTGCGCAGTAGCCTGGGATATGGGAGTCTCAAGTGGGGCAGGTCAGAGGAAAAGGCTCCTCCTGAAGGGACACTTTTGAAAAAGCTAGCCTGAACATCTTAGAAGTTACTGCTTTCTCAACAGATCTACATGTACAGCCTCACTAAGGTTAAGAACAGTCGGTGTTCCTCTCTGAACAACTCCTCAGTCATCCTCGCAGGAGGATTACAGCTCACATTCTTTTAGAATAACTTTCTCTCCACATGGTGGGATCATTTCAGTCCTTCTGGAAGAAGGGAAGCAGGCATCCGAGCATAGTAACGCTCTGCTAAAGGAAAGCATTCTTCCTACTCATGAGAGGAGTGGGGGGACTTGTACAGCAAGTCACGATCTCCTCTGGAATATGAGCAAATGTCCAGGAGGCACATAAAGGTACTCTTGGTCTACCAAGGCCTCTCAAGGCTGCAGGAGGGTTTCGGTGCTGCTTGTTTTGCAAGGGGGTAGGGGGTGGAAGCAGGTGCAGAAGAAGCACCAGAGTCCTTAGGCACCACTTGTGACCTCTGGAAATAGCAGAACAGCTTCAGCCAGGTTTCGGTGTTTGCTGAATGGAGATTCGGGAATTGCAGAGCTCCTTCTCAGGCAGCAGGCATCCCCTTCACGAATATCCTGCTGTAGGCTTTTGGCAGATGCTGCAAAAGCCAAAAGGGCAGAGAAGGAGAGAAGTGTTACACAGGGAGACTCGGGCTGAGGTTTCGTCTAGAAGTGAGGGCAGCAATTGATTGGGGGATGTACTCACCTCGGCTGTATTTTGGTATCTGACATCTCCAGGTTGTCGGCTTCTGCAGCTTGGAGTTGGGCTGGTGAAACTCCTTCCCCAGGAGCAGTTTCAGCTGCTTGATGTTGCTGTTATTCCAATCATGACACAGTTTCTCTGCGATAGGTTTCCCGAGCTGTAACATAAAGTGGGAAGAGGATGGTTAGCAGTGAGCCTTTCCTTCCCCATCTCTATATAACTGCTGCTGCAGGAGTTTGGCCCTTCTCAGCTCTTTGCCCTTGCAGTCACAGACAGCAGATACTTACTGTGTTCATCTCTTCGGGTGCTGGGATTTCCAGGCACTGGGTGCCATTAACCCAAGTGCTGGTTTCAGCTCAGCACTTGCTGGTTAGCGAGTGGAGACAGGAGCGGGAGTGCTGTATTTATACACAGTGACTGCATACAAATGTATGGGTCCTAAGCGACTTTGAGTTTCCCACAGTCGATAGCCAATCCATGTGTGCCCCGGGACAATAGGGAAAGCATCTATTACAGCATGGCAAATTGACTGTGAATTGCCTGGGGATAATACCCTGCTCCCAAAGGAGCAGGTGGACTGGGGAGCGTGTGACACAATGGGGCTCGGCATTGCGGCGCTGGGGTAGGGACGTGGGAAAGCGTTCGCTCACATTATAATCAAACTTCTGCCTGATGTTGGGAACGTCAACATCTCAATGTGCTGCTTTTTCCCAGGCTGTGGTGAAATTAAGCATAGGAGACTGATCCCGGGAAAAGATAATGCTCATGACTGAAAGAGAGGTTGAAAAGGAAAAAATGCAGAATTAGAGGGACTAAACCCTTTCAATGACATTAAACCATGCTTAGATGAATACAGTGCCAGATAATTTTCGGGCAGCTAGAGGCTAAAATCAAGGGAAGAACCCTTAAAACAATTTGTGCTAAGCAGTTAGCTTGAGATATTTCCGTCTCCATTGTTTAAATACTTAAAGTCCCTCTATAAGTTATATTCAGAGCTCTTCCTTACTTTTGTTTGGGTAATCTGTGCTTTCCTACAGCAGCCCGTGGCATGTAACAATTATGATGCCTTTCCCAAACACATCCTATCTAATTTCATGCCACTTTGTAAATGCCTTGCTGTTCCCTTGGTCCTGAGTCTCCATGTAAAGCACGTAAACGTATTTTCTCTTTACAGACAACTGAGATGCAGGGGAAAGTCAATTCTTGCCTATTACTTCGTATTATCCACTTGCAGAATGTAAATACAGGTCCTAGGATATCCTGTGACTGTTCAATCTTAGGTTTTCTCAGTATATGTGTCATGAACACAGGTAATGAAGTGGAAAGGACTAGATAAGATCCAAGATTAAAGCCACCTTTCTGAGATATCCCAGGCACAATCCAATCCAAAGCTAGCCACATTTAAGATCTGTCAGTCAGGCACATGAGGTCTTGTATTGACAGATTCCCAGCTGTGCTATATGGTACATCTGCTTCAGCTCTAGGTGGAGCTTTACAGGTTTAAAGGGAATCATGCATGGGCATAATTTTATTTTTCTGAAGAACTGTGTCTGCGAGTACACAGACAGCAAGATGTTCCAGCACACACAGGGTTCTTGCATAAAAGGATATGATCCTGCAAAGGATGATCCTGTAACTAGTTAACCTGAAGCTTACAAAGCCCCTTTTAACTTCGTTTTAACAGGCTTCTCATGGTTGTGCTCCTCATAGGTCAGCCATTCTCCCTTCCCAGCCCAAAGATGTTTTACGTTTAGATGAAGCACTTAGGGATCCACCTAAACAATTTTAATTGTTGCAGTGTTAATTGTTAAGGGTTGTCAAAAACGTGTAGTTGAACAGGCAGTAAGAGTCCTACGCAGAATCAGTTCCCTGAGTTACTTTGTCAGCTCGTTATCTGCAGTGTTACTTGCTGCACTGTTATTGGAGCATGGAGCCAAGCACAGGGCTTTGTGGATCTCTTTCTGGGATCTCTCCCTGGGGTCACATGGGATGGAATGGACAGCAGGTCCTGCCATGCACCGTATGGGAAGGAGTGTGTTAGCGGCAGCAGTGGGCACAGGGAGATGGGAGGGAAGCTTTGACCCAGTTTCAGCCCTGGAAATATGAAATGAGTGGTTTTAAATAATGCCATCCTATCCCCGTCACAATGCCCCTGGACTCCAAAAGGCTAAACCAGCTCCCACTGATTAAAGCATTATCCCTTCCTTTAAGTGCTGGGCAGATGGTGCAGCAGGCGCCAGCTTTCTTCTCAGGACCCACAGAGGCACACTTCTTTTGTTGACAGTTTAACACTGTGAATGGGGCAATGTGGGAAATCCTCGGAACTACAGCCTCACACCATCTGATGTGAATGGTGAACCAGGCAGCCAGCACAAATCCCACAGCCCTCTGCGCTCACCAACTCCCAGCTTCTCTCCCCCTCTCTGTCAGTTAGCAAATCCTCAGGTCCCCCTGTGCCTGCTTCACCTCCCCTCTGTAGAATGTTGGTGGATAAAAGAGAAAGAAATATTCCCTCCTCCTTCCCTCTTTGCTTTGATTATTAAGGTCTGAAAACTTAACAGCAATGCTATTTCCCAACTGCTTCAGGATAATAAATTGTCTAGACTTAGGCAGCCCCTGGGGTATATTCCTTATGGAACTGGGCACAGTGTGAACTTTCTGCAAGGATTTCAGTAAGGAAAAAAATCCTGTGTGGTAAGTAGTCCAGTTGCTCTTTGTTAAAAGTCTGTAACTAGTTTGCTCAATTTGGGCTTTTTTAGGAATTCAGCTGCTAGCACAATCATCTGTCCCACTGAGACACATTTGTGATCCAAATCCTTGTCACTGTGCATCATCTCCATGGGAGGAGTTTGTGCCTCTCTGGCTGTCACTGCAGAGCTGGAATGAAATGAAAGATTGATTGTTGAGGCTCAGAAGCAAGGATTTCCTGGTTAATAGAAACAAATTCCAAAATTTGCCAAACATGTGGTGTTGACTAAATGATGGGACACAATAATTCCCTTCTTTGGAGGATGGTGAGAAATTTGGCCCTGCTCCTGAGAGATGACAGCTCTGCTGTGGACAGAGGCTTGCTTTTTCAGTGGCCTTGTTTCTCTGTAAATTCCATCGCTCATGAGCTGCCTCATGAAGATGCAGCCTTCAAAATCACACATGAAAACAGGGATGTGCCTCTACTCTCACTTGCTGTGGATATTGAAGAGTGTAAGGGGAAGCAGAAATCTGCAAACAGTTGTCAGTAGCTGTACTTGCAGACTTGCTGTCAGGCAGGAGTCCTGGCTTTTCCTGAGGATTAATTGTCTCCAACTGCAGATGCTCACCATTTGACCCCGTGCTATGGTGTGCAAGCTGTGCACCATAGCTTGCTTTGAGTTGAGAGACAACCACAAAGGATCCAGGAAAAGTAACAAACCCACCAACCCACGCCAAAGCTATCATCACCAGGCTTGTGTTCATTACAGTCCATAAATCAGCTGGAGGACTGCTAGTGTAAGGAGTGGGTACTGGGCCATGAGCTTTCTGCTTCTGGTTTGTAGGTGGTGATCTCAGCCTAGGGGCAAGCTTACTACACACTGTTTTCACAAAAGATGCTACTACTTGTAATAGCAATTGACAGCTTCCTTAGCCCATCTGATACTTAGCTTTCCATCAAGGGGAACCCAGCATATTGCAGTGTAGCAACAGGTCTGGGAGAAGGTGGGCTGGCAGAAAAGAGTATGGAAACCCAGGATTTCATTGTCTATGATACGCAGATTTAAAAAGCAGTGCTCCTATATGTCTATGGCTGTACTTACAGCACACAACATGATGGCTTAAAGCATTTTGTGTCACTTATAGAGCATTTTTTATTTGAGACCAATTCCTACATTCACGTCAGCCTCTCTCACAAATGCTATTGATGGTGTTTTTAAAGAAGTAATTACGATTTTTATTTTTTCTGTGTGCCTTCCTTAAATGGTTTAAAATCTTTCTGACAGCCCCTCTCGAGACACCTATTTAGTGTCAAAGAGCATAACGTTCCCAAGTTTTAAAAGGGCTCTGGCATAATACTGATCGATCAATGTGCTCCTTGGGAAAATAGCTCTCCAGATGGTCTATCAGGACAGGAATTGCTGGTCATCACAATGCAGAGCCAGAGAGCGTCACTAATGTGGGCTGTTGTGAGGCACGCTTCCTTTGTGGTCCCGTTGAATGTCATAAATAGGGAAGAAAGTGTGGGAAACTCTGAGAAACTCAGGCCCACACTCTGAGGTTAATAGGGGCTTTGTCAGGAGAGTATTCCTGGGCTGTGGGATCAGCATAATAAACAACATCTTCCCTAAGGGTGGGAATGTGTTGGAGCAGGGGAGAGTCACCCCAGGGGACAGAAGAGCATTAAGAAGCTTTGCGTTCAATTATTATAAGTGATAATAATTAATAAATTGTGAACATAACCTTTGCTGTGCTGGGACTGGGGAAACGAGAGGTCTGGCTTTTAGCATTCAGGTAGTCACTAAAGCCCAGAGGGCAAGACTTTGGCTGGCAAAAACCAGAAGTGGTACAATTGCATCAGCCACGCATCCCTGGAGCAAGGGGAGGCTTTCTGGTGGGCTTTGGTTTCTTCCCCCTGCCCAGAAAGGAGGTGCTTACTCTTTCTCTCCCTTACACCACTCTGCAGACGGTAGGTCTGAGTCTCAGGTACACTGACAGCCACACACGATCAACCCCCCCGCCCTGCTACAGCCAGAGCGATATAATGTGACCTCAGTGTAAATGAGAATCAGAGCTTGTGGTCTGAATGACAGGAGCCATGTCTCCAGATTTATGCCAACATGGATGGCAGGAGTTCTGGGCTTAGAAGTCTGACTGTGATCTCACATGAGTTTTGCACAATTATGATTTCTACGGTGTGTTCCTGTGTTAGGCTAGAGCTAGAGGGACCGGATTCAACTCCAACAGTCATCTCCAGTTTGTGCAGCTCTTCTTTGGTTTCCTTTTCTCTTTTCCATTGATGCTGTCAGTTTTAAACAAATCGCAGGGATGCTGCCAACTGTGACACTCACAGCAGGGTTTACTTGGGTGGTAATATGTAAGCTGCAGAGGATGCCCATCCACACTTCTCCATGCCATGTGTGACTCCATGCCCAGTCCCTGTGGTGCACAATCAGGTTGGGGTGTACTTTGGGGCACGTTGCATTTTGACTGAGTCTGAACTCCTCCCAAACCAAACTTCCTATCTGCAACTGCCTTGATGAGGCTTGATTTAACAATGCACAGCTTGAATTCTGCCGGGATTCAGAAGCTTGCACTAACTGATGCAGACAAGTTGAGCACAGCAAGGTGAAGTGACTTTTGCAAGATCACTAAGCAACCACAAAACCTAAAAATATATTCTCTGAATTATTTAGTAGTTCATTAGAAGGAACAACTTCATCTGCAGCGTTGGTATCAGCCCCTGATGAATTGCAGAACTATACCAAAACGCCACCTTGTATTGCACTGGCAGACAGATGAAGAGCACTCAATCAGCTTGTGCATTCAGGGTAAAATAATTACCAAAATGATCCATGCAACTGTGATGAGGTAGAGTAATATGTTCTTGACGCAGGTAGCTGGCTTTTTGGTTGTTTCCATATGTGTAGCAGAGGGTTTAGGCACAAATGGGGTGAGGACTGGCCAGGTACCGCTGGCAGTGTCTGAATGACATTTGATCTTGCCAGTTTAGCAGATCTGGGTTTGCTTAGTGCTTAACTAGGCAGCCATTTGGCAAGATCAGATATTCCAGGGTTCCTTTTCTTTAAGGAAGAAAAGCATATAGTAGAAACAAAGCTTTTCCAGGGCATCTCTCCCAGGGAATCTGAGGACAGTTGAAACTATTGACCAATGGTGTTTCACACTGTTACTGTGTCTCTGGAAGAATGAAAGGTTAGTCATATGTCCAAATCAGTGTGTTACTGTGATTAGATAATAGTTTTGTGAACTGATTATTTGTGCAGATTTATTTTACTTTGAAGAGAAGGGGAAATAAAAGGTGCATAGTCCCTGCCTAGCAAGGAATGAGATTTCTTCTAAGGAAAAGTGAGTGAATGTTATTGGGGAAAGTGCTGTCTTTTGGAGAGACTTGGTATTTAAGGTGGCTTTAAAATCCCCTTCTCACACTTCTCTTCCTCAGCCAGTGCAGGCCAGGTAGGCTGCTGTAAATCCCCACATAAGAGGATACGCTAGATCTGTTTTCTGAGTTGAGGTGGGGTGAAAAAATCAAGGGAGGATCATTTAAAAAATGCTTGGCAGAGACACTGTGTCTACAACAACCTTCAAAGTCTGGTGGAGTGTGTTGGCTTCTCAACTCTGAGGCACAGGTCCTATTCATGGCATGTTTTGGACCCTTAGGTGGATGTCAGAGAAAAAGAATAAAATGTTTGACAAAAAAAAAAAGAAAGTAATTTAGGAGAGAAGATGCTTTTTCAATCTGTTTGCTATCAAATTATGTAGACTTTTAGCCATATACGGGTATATTTCACATCAGTAAAGAATTATGTTCCTGCCTAACGGAATTCATGTTTCAGTAACAGATGGTGCTGAATTAAAAGACAACAAAAACTAGTTCACAAAAATTAGTTTCACAGAAAAGGGTGAGATTCCCCAAGCAGAGTCAGGTGCCAAACTCTTTGGAAGTTATTAGGAGTTTTGCATGTTGCTGCCCCCTAAATGGACAGGAAGCATACGGCTGACCTCGGGCTGGCGGGCAAATGAATGGGGAGTGGGGGGAAATAAACTGGCTGTGAAATTAGTGATTTATTGAGGTCTGAATAGGTTGCTATGAAGTATCTGGGCCTACACCTCTCAGTATCTCACTTCGGTTTCACCTCCATTTTAGTTGCTGATAACTTTTCCAGAGATTGCTGCTTGGCAGGATCTGAAATCCCATTCTCCCAAATAAAATTCACAAATATAAGCCATGCAGTGGAATGAAGGGCTCAAAAATACATGACCTGAAGCTCCCCCACTGCAGGAGGAGTCTACATGCAACACTCAGTCACGCTGTTTTAATCATTTCAAACCAAAGGATTAATGACTAAAACCATTTTATTGTGTAGTAAAGATACCAAAGTTGAACATCACACAGGATGAATACATCACAACTTTATAAAAGCTTTTTAAGCTCTTTAGCATGTTCAGTGAATGATTATAAAGCACTTATTGCCTCCCTTCCTCCTCCTCTTCCTTAACATATATCACAGGTATTTCCTTTACAAAAGGCATCAATTATCCCTCAGCTGAGAGCATCATGTGCTGACATGAAGAGATTTTTCCCTAGAGCTCTCTGTTGTCATCATAACTCTCTGGAAGAAGATAGACTAAAGATAGCATAGGAACTGCAGAAGAATCAGCATTTCGTAATAACAGCTTTCACTCAAACGATAAAGGCTCAATACTCTCTTTATGATACAAAATACATTCTTCAAAGTGCACCTTCTTTAGGAAGGTCAGTACGTCATCGGGAGACAATGAGGCACTTGAACCAGTGACCCAGAGAGACAGTAGAAAGATTTGCACTGACAGCCTTGCCAAGCAAAAGTGTGATGGAAACCGAAGAGCCTTTGGCTCTCTAAATCACCTCAGAACTTGGTCCTCTCTTTGGCTAAGAGCTGCCAATAAAAGCAGCAAATTTGCTGCAAGTTACACACACAGTCCTTCACTATGAAGGGAAACTACTCAGCAACCCTCATTTCTTGTGACAGAAAAACAATAACCGGCTCCCTCCCACCTTTGGAAAGCAATGTTTCCTACTTTAAAGAGGAACTATTCAATCACAGGTCCCTCTAGTTTTTGTAGCAAAACGTAGGAATAAAGCAAAGTTCAGC